GCTGGGGGTGGATGGGGTGCCCCCCCAAGAGACCACTGGCAGCTGAGCCTCTTGCGCCGCTCCCTTGTCCTGGCAGAGGAGAGGCACCGAGCCGAGAACTGGCACTGTCAAGGGTTTTGTGGACAAGCTGACGTTGAAAGAGAACAAGAAGAAAGGTTGCTTCAGCACCCTGCCGAGGAACCCGGGCTGCCCCACGGAGAGGATCTTCTGGGCCACGCTCAGCCAGTGCCCAAGGGAGGCGGTCAGTGGGAGCACGGACGTCAGCACCGGCTGGCGGCACCGGCATCCCCAGTGGTGCCGCGGGTGCCCAGGGTGGGGACGCACTAGGCCCTGGGGGGATGGATGGGTGGGTGGATGCGTGCATCTCTGATGTTGTGCAGCTCCTTTTACGAGCAAACTGAAGCATTAACAGGTCTTCTTCTGCGCAGTATGCAGTGGGGCCGGGCTCCTACAACCCAAAGCCTGCTGAGAGATCAGCGTACTCCAGTCAACCCCCGTTCTGGTCATCTGCCAAGAGATTCGACAGAAAGTCTTACCGCCTCTTTACTGGAAACGAGGTGGGTGCACAGACATGGCAGTTAGATACGCAGGAATGGTCACGCTCTGCGCTTCCTCCATGGCCATCCCCAATCCCTTACCAGCACCCTTGGGAGAGGATGAAACTCTTCTGAGCCTAAGGGTGGGCAGTCCTCACCAGCTTCAGCCAGCTAAATGTTAGGCATGTCGTCTGAACGGAGCAGCACCCCAGCAGAAGTCCCACATCAGGTGGCTGGCTGTGATAGAAGGGCAAACCGACCTCAGGAGGGGACTTTCTCTCCTGTTGATTATCAAGGAAACCTGGGTGACTTGGCCAGATACCTATCCTTTAGAGAGAAGGTGAGTCCCTCTCTGGGTGCTGCTGTTCTTGCCCAGAACAGGTTGCTAAAGAATAAACAGCGAAAAAAGGCCCACGGCCCAGCGTCCTGCCAGGTCAAGGGAAAGGTGCCCCCGCGTACGGCAGCACGCTGAGCACGCGCTGCCCATAGGCAGCTGAGCTTGGCTGGCGGGGAGCAGAGGCGGGGAGCTCAGCAGCGGCCACGTTATCTCTGCCTGCATCCTCAGGCTTTTGCCCTTTTCAAGGGATGCTCAGCCGACCCTTCTCATTAGTTTTGCTCTGCATCAGCTGCAAGCAAAAGGATGCACTTCATGGATGAGGGCAGCAGGGTTTGAGCCCTTTTAGGTGCCAGGCGCTCCTCATATCCTCACAGAAAGTCATATTCTGCTGCTTGAAAACCAGTTTTTGTCTCTAGCAGCATCAGCAGCATGTTGCAGAGCCAGTGCAGGTAGAAGCCTTTCTGATAGTACCCGGTCCTGGAGCTGTTTTCATCTTGGCAGCTTCCCCACAGAGAACCAGAACAAAGCCTAATGGGCTCAAAGCAGACAGGGAAAGCTTTAGTCTGAAATAGTCCACCTTGGCTAGGGATGAGGAGCAGGCTTTTCTTGCCTTTATCCAGCTGAGTAGGGAACAGGCAACTTGAAAGAGGTCAAGGATGAAGACATCTTCATAATTGCTGGGGAACTCAGCAGATTACATTTCAGTGGGGAGGTTGTGACATGGCAACCCTTCACTACAGCTAGCAGTAGGCAAACGGTGAGTGTGCTTGAGCCCACAGAGCTCACTGACTTCTTTAGGGACTGCTGTGACGAGAACTGTTAGTGAAGGGGACTGGCCAGGCTAACACCGATTAGTGTGTCTTCTCCTCCCTCCCCTGCAATATAGGCTGTTTGGTTAACACGTGCCATATATTGCTGTATTTTTTGCAGCTGAAGGCCTGGCCACGTGAAGGCACTACCTGGTTTTGCCCCACTCATCCCACAGAATCATAGATTCATAGAATCTTTGGGTTGGAAGGGACCTTTAAAGGCCATCTAGTCCAACTTGCCGGTAGTCAGCAGGGACATCTTCAAGTAGACCAGGTTGCTCAGAGCCCCGTCCAGCCTGTTCCCAGACCTTGAATGTTCCCAGGGATGGAGCATCTACCACCACTCTGGACAACTTGTGCCAGTGCTTCACCACCCTCATTGTGAAAAATTTCTTCCTTATACCTAGTCTGAATCTGCCCTTTTTTAGTTTAGAACCATTACCCCTTGTCCTGTCGCAACAGGCCCTGCTAAATGTCTGTCCCGTCTTTCTTATAAGCCCCCTGAAGTACTGGCAGGCTGCAATGAGGTCTCCCCAGAGCCTCATGCTACCTCTGGATGGGGAAACACATGAGACCTTCTCCTTACAGAACCCTGTAGGTGTTGGTCGCTACGACATCACTGAGCATGAAAAATACCTGCAGAAGATGAGATACCAGTCCCTGTACTGGTGTGATGCGCAGCGGTACCTGAGCAACTTGAAGCAGGATGCTTGCTTGCTGTAAGTCTGACAGACAAGGAGGCTGTAAGTGGTTTCACGCTGGCTTACAGGAAAATCATCTTGAGCAGCTCTCGGGAGACTGCACGTTACTGACGCTACAGCTGATGTGAGATGGGATGATCATGTAGTTAAAGCCCTGGATCGGAGTGAGAAACACTCACCAGCCCCACCGCAGGTTCCCTCTGTGGGCAGGGAGGTTGGTATTGCTGCACGTCTCCCTCCCAGGAACGCGAGGGGAGCTGCGTGCTTCCCCGCCGCGCAGGGCCAGTGGGAGGGTTAAAGAACTGCCTCTCAAGGCAATTCACAGATGCCAAGGTGGTTGTTGTATCTTGTGAAATGCAATTTGCCCGCAGCGGAGGTGTAGGCAAATAGTTTCCATCGAGTTAGAGGAGGCAGCCTGGGAAGGAACTGGGAGGTGGATGGGTAGTCAGGCTGCCTGGACTCGTTCCCAGTGCCGGCACTGGACTGCTCAGTGGCCCCGAACAAAAATCACCTTCTCAGGCTGTGCCTTGGTTTACCCACCTGAGGAAGGAAGATAACAAGGCTCACTCTCACCAGAAAGGGCTTTGAAATCGCTAGCATGAAAACCCTGTGAAGCAGTTAGGAACTAGACTAATGAGAGACCTCAGGACAGCCCTCCGCTCGCACCTTTGCTTGTGGCCAAGATTAGCAAACTGCTGTGGTGGCACTACGGGCTGGCAGCTCTGCAAAGGTCTGTCTTGATCTCCAGAGAGTAGTTAGAAATCGGTCTCGGCAGCTTTCAGCAGGGCAGCCAGAAGTTAGCTACCCTGGCATGGAGAAGGCATAATGAAATCTGGCTTTCAATATTGCCCAGCTTTGTTAATTTTGCACTTCCAGCCGGAA